AATAAAAAAATCTCATCTTCGTAATCAAAGCTATAAACAAAATATAACAATCAAGAATCCAACCTCAACGAGTTCCAAGCTACAATCTAAAACTTAACATGATTACAAAACAACTTTGTTACATTCCCAATAAAAAAAAGGAACTTCAGTTAAACTACAAGCTTGACGGTGGATCAATTGCTACAGTTGAAAAAACATTCTGGTCCATTTGCATACCTACAACATAAGACATTACAGTTTAAGGCTAGCTCTTTCCCTACCATCAACATCTGGTGAACTGAGTGAAAATGGAAGCAGCTTGGCTATGAAACCTTGATTGTTAATAATGTAAAACAATCACCTGACAGGTACGAAACTACAATTTCTTGCCGACGTTATCAAGCCTGGTGAGTTTGCAGAAGCATTTTTGATCGGTCAGCAGATTTATTGTATAACTTCTACACTTGAAAGATACTGAAACAAGAAATATGCAAGCTTATTATAATCACTGGACGAAAAACTATCAACACCTAACCTTCGCTCTAAGTTCCGTGGGGCTTGTTTGTTTAAAAGGAACTGATCTCTCGAGATTTTCAAAATGAGGAATTATTTTAGCTTCTAAGCTTTTGAAAAAATTTTGCATTTTATTTGATTGGAAATGTCTGAAAGTGTATATTATCTTTCCTCAACTGTATTTTGCTCTGCTGAGTTAAAAATTCTCATATGATATTAATAAAACTGAAAAAATCCAATGAAATAGAGCATCACAATTCTTAAACTCTCTTTCAAATTTCTGCTAGATAAACGGACTCTAGGCAACAATCAAGCATTTCTAGAAAGAAAGAAAAAGGAGAACAAAAAGATCTAAATGGAAGCATGCAATCAATTAAGATAATTCAAAGATACGAGAAATAATAAATTACTAACCTTCCCCACTGGCCTCATGCACAATGATCTATTTTTCACCAGGTGTCATCAATAGAAGTACCCTTTGCATTTCACAGATCCACACAAGCACTTTTTTCTTCCATGGTCTCCTTTCTCAGGTTGAACCATCCCATAATCAAACGTCAGCTCTTGCATGGGAGGAATATGTCGGATTGCAAAGAAAGCAATATGGAGGTATGACTCATTAGTACTTTCACGTAAAATTGGCTTCCAGAACACATTTGGTGAGCAACTATGATTCATGAATCGAGCTCCATTGCCATTATTTTTTGCACTTATAACAAGGGGAAAGGGGAATTTCATAGAACCATTAGAATCATCATGCACAGCTTCCAACCGCTCATAGAAACGAGTAGCATCAAAAGTGTAATTATCTTCCTTTTCATTCCCAAAATCACCTAATGTAGACGTATCTATGGCATCACCTGCATACTCACAGATAAAACCTCCAGCACGAATGGGATCCCAAGATCTAAGTCCCCAACCCCTGTCATTTGTCTTAAAGATCTCCAAACGGACTTTCAGACCAGCCTGAGACATTCTGTTCCGGCAGTTTGGAGGACAAGCGCAGGCCACTCCACATTCATATACAAAGGGTTTGTCAGTCAGAAGAACTCCAAGAGATGAATAAGGGAGATATCCCTCGTTTCTTTGACTGCATGGGCAGCTGGTATGACCAGGTTGGCATCCACCAGTGCATTGACATCCCGAAAAAGACTTGGGTGTAGAAAAAGGTTTGGAGTACTTGAGATTACGAATATATGTGAAATAAGCAGGTCCCTTTTCATCATCAACATCATTCACAAGAGTGACAGGTAAAGGCTCTGCTCCTGAAGTCAAATCAGGAAGGATGACCCCACTCCTCGGAGCAGTTCCGTCCTTCCACTGCCGAATTGATTTCCACAAATTGAAAGCTTCAGGTTGCCCAGGTACTCTAACCAACTTGTACTTAAAAACATTGCATCCAGAATTGTTTTTCTCTGCCCATGACTCCTGAATTTTGTACAGGCCATCATAAACATATATCTTCCCAGTTGAAGCGGCAATATCCTTTATGCCTCGGATGACTCTCACCTCATTTGCACGATGCAAACTCTTTTCTAGAGCCAGATTTCCCCTTTCAAGTTTCTGATCAAACATTTGTTTATCTCTTCTCTGCACTCCACCCTGGCCACTGTAAATCAAGATATCCCCATCATCTCCCAGATCATCATATCCTCCAGATGAAACAATGCTTACAGCAACAGGTTCTTCATCCACAGTAATTTTCACATTCATATAATCTATTCCAGCCATACTTGGAGCATGTAATCCAACGATGCAAAGCTCCATCCTGAAAAAGAAGATATCACCAACCTCTACCCCAGGCAGATGCCCAATCCTCTTTGTGTTATTTGTTCGAACACCGTTAGTCATCAAGAGTGAAGCGGCTTTCAGGTCTGGACGTCTAGTAATCCCAGGAGACTTATCCTTCACTTCTTCAAGTTGGGTAAACCTTTTCCGTAACAAATCAAACACTAACAGTATGTTATTGACTATCTCCTTGTCACCATTAGCTCTTCTAACATCATCAAAGTTCTTAAGCTTAAACGATGTTAAGAATCTATTAACCAGTGATTCAACATCAGAGCTATCTTCATGCTCATCCCTGCTCTCACCCGGATTGCTCTTCCTTGGACGGCCCCTTCGTTTCCGAGTATTACCGGCATCCTCTGTGTCAGTTACATGCACACTAAATCCGCTCACATGCTGGCCACTCTGATTCTGCGAGTCATTATAATCATCATCATCTGCAACTACAGGTTCTGATATACGACCTCTGGAGCCCCTCCCAGACTGCCGAGTGCCCCCATTTGCTTGGGGCGTTGGTGTTCTAAATGAATTCAATGGAATAGGAGCAGGTATGGAATTACCGAAAGCATGATTCCCCGGCTGATTTGATGCACCAGATGTGTTTGGGTGTGGATTCTGTTGAGAATCATTTGGAATAAAAAATGGATAAAACGGATGGATCCCAGGTGGAAAAGGACCAGTTGGTGGAGTGCATACAAAGGGTGAGGGCTGGGGGGTCATAACTGAAGACATGTCAGGAGGGTTTGGGAAAACTGGTACAAGACATCTCAATGGCCTCAAATCTAAAACCCTAGATTTATCAATTGACCCCAGTGATGGATTTGAATTTGAACCTAAACCTTGCTCCATTTAACCACTACACAACAGTCTTACTAAAGATTCAGAAAACACAAAACCACAACTAAATTACCAAGCTCCCAGATCCCCCTACTCACCTGTCTACTGTTTTTCTCTCGCCGATATGAAACAAACACGCTCTTCTCCGATAATATATTGTTATGTACAAAATTAAAATCACGTCATGCAGTCATACAAACCATAGCTGGAAGGGTTAATGATCGAACCTTCAACAAACCCTTAAACGAATCTGCTACCTGTAGCGTGAAAAAAACATGTGATTGGAAAGTTTCCTGACATAAAGAATCAAACCTTGGATGAAAAACTGTAAAGCCCTAAAATTTTGTTTAGGTCCTAAAACCAATTTCAAAATTTAGCAAGAAATGAAGTGCAAAACGTGTAAGGAATCAGTAAAAAGATCCATTTTAAATCAAATATGAGATGGTAATAACGCAGTAAGATCTCCATAAGGTACTAAAATCTATAAAACGGAAGAAGGCCAAAAATTATATTGCCAATCGATACATAAAATGAATTGGACAATAAGTTTAGTCACTCAAATTCCATAGCACAGATCACATATTGATGATATAGAAAGAGAAGAAAGAGATCTTTAATGGAGAAAATACCTCAAAGGCTTGAATGGGTGTATATCAGAGAGATAAAGACAGGAAGGTTCGGGGGATTGCTGACATAATAGCGCTGTAAAGTTGAGGAATTTCTTTAAAGGGACAGGGAAAATGGTTCGGTATTTTCTTTGTGTCTTTTCTTTCTTTTTATTTTTTAATAAAATATTTGATTTTTATAATTTAATAAAATATTCCTTATTATTTAGTAAAGAATATTTCAATCGGAATTTTTATTTTATTAAAATAAGTTTCCAATCTAATTACATTCGTAAATGATAATGCACTTTTATGTAACATCGATTAAGTCAGAATATTCAAATCGCATTATGTACAAATTTGACTTCGTGCATATTTTGTAGCGACGTAGCCTTGAAACCAGCACGTTCCACTTTGATGTAAGATTGACCGTTGTCATTGGACTATCACTTACTCAAGTTATTTTTTCAAATATAAATTTCATAATTTTTATAAAAGAAAAAAATTGCAAAATAATGATGAATTGGGAAGAATTTATACGTGATTTAATTATTATTTAGATAGAGATTAGTAACTGATAAACGATATTACTTATGGGTAGGTTCAATAAAATATATGGTTAAAAATGAAGTTTGGTTATTTATAAATCATTTATATATTAGTCGAACGGATGTAAATTGTGAAAAGTGTAGGTATTTATAAACAATTTATTACAACGGTTGCAATAGTTGGAAATGGTACACTAGAATACAAATTCTTAACATGAGACAATATGCGCTTTTGAGTTGTGTTCGAAGACAAGATGAGATGTTGATTTGTTGAAGACTAAATCTTATCAAGCCCCCTCAACCTTGACGGCGACATGGAAGGAACACCAAGCTTGAAAAGAATATTTTCAAGAGACTTCATTGATGGCTTTTATAAGAACATCAACAACTCACTTAGATGTGGGCATCTGTTGAACATGTATTGCACCATTGGCAACCTTTTCACGAGTGAAGTGATGATAGTCAAGTATTACATTTGAAGTATAGAATTATGGGAGATGTGAACGACACTTTTATTGTTACATAGCAACAATGATTGACGTTTGAAGAAATATAGAGGATATCGAAGCCAAGTTATTTCAGTAGTGGTAGTGGCTAAATTTCAATATTCAGCTTCATCGCTAGAAAGCAAGAATTGATTTACTTCTCTGACATTTGAGACATGTCATTAGAGTCAAGATTGGGGAAAATTCACATCTACGGGATTAATTGCAACACATTTCAAAACTAAGAAATAAGGTTTAAAATTTCAAAAATCAGATCTTATTAAAACAAATTTATAAAATAATTAATTAACAATATATTTTATTAATTAAATATATTAAGGTCACAATTCTATACAATTTGATCACGAATTATTTTTCGATTACAAATTAAAAATTTTAAAATCACAAATCAAAAATTTTATAGTTTACAATTTATTTATCGATCATAAATTATAAATTTTATAAGTCATAACTCAAATTTTTAGATCACATATTATTTATTGATCATAATGTATCCATTTTATTAGTCACATATTATTTATTAATCACATGTCAACTAATTTATTGGGCACAAGTGACCAAATAATTTGTGATCATCCCTAACATTTGCCTCCACCACTTAACCATCACCTCCAGTCGCACCATCGCCATAAACCACCACCACCTCCCAGCAGTAACATCACCATATCAAACAAACTAACACCCACCACTTCAACTACAAAACCACCATTGCTATCGCCAGATCTACCACCACCAGGTCCACTGTCAAATCCAACAAAATCCACTCCAACAGTAAAGATCTACCACCACCACCACCATTAATAAAAACTGCGGACGCCACTAAATCTAACAAAACCACCGTCACCCAACCACCCCTAAAACCACAGCGATCATCACGACGAATACAGCACAATGATATATAGATCGGCGCTTCACAGGAAAGCGTGGTAAAGCTACTATTGCGCTCAAATCAGCGCTGCTGGATCTAAAAAATCAAAGGCTCTATGAGCCGCTGGGACAATGGCTTCATCACTAATGTAGCAACACTCACTCCACTATGATGGCTTCATCGTCACAATGCCGTCGCAATGGGTAGTAAGTTGCCCGAGAATAGATCAAAATGGGGAGAGAGAGAGAGAGAGAGAGAGAGAGAGAGAGAGAGAGAGAGAGAATGATTTAGGGATGGGTTGATTTAATTAGTAATATATTTATTTACTACAATATTAAATCTTAACTATAATTTGAATTTTGAAATGTGGTTTATGAAATGCAAATTTAAAAAATAGGGTGCTGTGTAATTTCCACCAATAAAAATGCAATAGAATGTAAGGTTCCATTGGGTAATTGGACAATCGGCCCAGTGCGTATCACGAAAGGCAGTGGGATTTATTATTGAAAAATGCTAAGTGTAGAGCATCTGATTCTGAAAAAATTTACTGTGGCAACATCTGTGTGATTCAAAAATTATTTTTTTTATTTTTTTGCCATCTTTTTCAACTAGATTTTGCCAACGCATTTGTATGAATTCTGCCAACCAAATTCTGTATGTGTAGCAAAATTCTTTATTAAGGACATATTTATCTCCCATTATGGAAGAAAATATAGAGTTTTGCATAATGTTTTTTAAAGAATGTGTGATTGAAATTTAAAGGAATTTTATTAGTTTATATATTGAATATTTTATTATATAAATATGTGGTGAAGAATATTATTATAGCAAAAAATTTAATTTATTAAAAGATCACGGACATGGGCTAATTGTTATTTTCTTGTAGATAGGTTGTTCCTTCCTCGTTGACCTCTTTTGCTTCCTCTTTGACTAAAAAAGGTGTGATCATGCACAAACTGTCGCTTTTCCCCCATTTGGTTTCTTTTTATTGGTATTTGGTTTTGAATTTAGGTATTTTATACACAATTTCTTTAATGATCAAGATAATTATAAATGGTTGAGTTCTCTCCATGAAATTTCCTATTGAGTTGTTTTTTATTGATGAAAATATTTTATGAGATGTCACACTCAAAGTTTCGTTCATTGATTTTGAGATGGAATTTGGGTTGTTCGAATAAAGTTAGATTGGAGAATAGAATTCTTATAAGAGTCCAATTTATCAAAAATTATTATCACAAAAAAAAAAAAAAAAAAATCACTACTCGAAAATATATTGAATATATAATTGCATATTTGAATATGAAAGATATGTTATCAAGTTAAATTAATATACTTGATGGAAAAATTGACAAAATTGAGTAAAGTTGAATACTTATGTAATTTTATAACTTTAAAAAAATATATATATTATTCCAAGGATCAAAAGCCATATTCAACTAAAGATTAAATTATTTTAGTTGTCGGTTAGCAAACAGCACACATAGGTTTTCTAATTTATGTCTCATTGATCATCTCCTCTCATTGGCCATCTCCAACTGATTTTACCAAAATAGTGTAATTTTCACATCATCTTACTTAGTCATCCACAACTCGTTACATCAAATGTTGTACAAAAAAAATATTTCATTTCTTTCATTATTTTTTAGCTCTCCACCAAAAATTTATTTCAAAATTATTGAATTGCATTTTCATTACTACTAGAATTACTAATTAAAAATTACGTTTAATTAACTAAATATGTTACATTTAAATCACAGTATTAAAAAAATTACATAGAATACAAAAAAAAAAAAAAAAAAAATCACAAAACTAACATAATGTCCAACTAGTTATATTATAAAATTGAAATAAATATAACAAAATCAAGTCATTAAGTAATAAAGGATATAAAAGAATATAATATAAATTAAAATAAAGGGGGTGTTTGATAGGTATTTTTATGTAAAAATGCATTTTAGAATAGTAAATTGATGTGAAATGTGTGGTTGAAAAATAAGGAAAAGTTTTTGATTTACGTGTAATATTTTTAATAAAGTATGTGCGATTGAAAAAAAGAGAGAAAAAAAATGCATTTTGAAGAAAATGGCTAACAAACGGGCTCTTATTATAGTATAAAATGAAGGACAAAATGAAAAATAATTTAAATTGTATATAGGGACAATTGCAGCATAGGTTCCAAACCTTTAAAATATTAGCAGATTTTTCCTAAACCTTTAATTTGTTGCAACCGTCACTCCAAACATTTTGAAACGTTACTACGAGGGCCTATATACAATTTAGTAATTCTGCTAATATTTTTAAAAGGGTAAAATAGTAATTTTTTATTTACTACATTAAAATAAATTAAAAGTTAAATTAGAAAAAAAAACTCCTATTTTCCCCCTTTTCCCTTTGTAATTTTTGCAGCAATATCTAGAATTCCATCTGTCGAATTGCTGTTGAAACTAGGCAAACGCCGAGCTCCTTTTCACCATCTGCCATTTCGTTTATCATCGGCCTATTCTATACATATATTTTTATATGTGACTAAGCATACATGTACACAGAGAGAAATGGAGAAGAGGAGAGGGTTTTTTTTTCACCGGGGAAAACAAATTATTGGGCCAAAAATTTGGATTTAGAAATCATTAATTTGTTAATTTGTTTAGAAAAAATTAAAATTAAAATAATTTGATTTACTCAATATAAAAAAAAAAATTAGAAAGATTCGGTTCTTATTCGGTTCTTCGATTCTTGGTCTAGAACCGAGAACCGAACCGTACTCGTCGGTTCTCAATTCAGATACCCGTTCGGGTATTTAATTTGACAAGAACCGTCGGGTTCGGATCGGTTCGGTTCGGGTTCGGGTTCGGGTTCGGATCGGTCGGTTCGGTTCGGGAGATTTGCCCAGCCCTAGGGGAGACAAGGAGCAAGTTGGGAAAGGACGCGGCTTATATTTATATTAGAAGCCTTAATCGACAGTCGTTCGCTATTGAAACTCGGGCAAACACATTTGCAGACTAAGCATTCACTTCCTTTCAAAACTTTCTCTCGATCTTGATTTGTAGGAACACTTTTCACTCTCTGCAATTCGTGCTGTGCGATTCTTAAAGGTGGAATGAATATAGCTTTACGGTGATCCTTGCCTCTTGTGTTGTTACCTTCTTCATCTTCTTCTCTGGGTATGGCTGGGAGAGAAGATGAGGGTTTTTTTTTTCTAATTTAATTTTAAACTTTTTCTAATATAGGATTCATCTTCTTCTCTGGGTATGGGTGGGAGAGAAGATGAGGGTTTTTTTTTCTAATTTAATTTTAAACTTTTTCTAATATAGGAAATGGAAAGATACTATTTTACCACTTTAAAAATATTTAAAATATGATCAAAGTCAAATTTTTTAGTCAAATTAATAGATATTTGGATGAAAACCGTCCAAAAGGGCTCCTGTCGCAACGTTTGAAAGGTTTATGGTGACGGTTGCAACAAATTAAAGGTTTGTGAAAAGTCTATAAATGGTTTAAAGTTTTGGGACCTCTGCTGCAATTATCCCTTGTATATATTACACTAATATACAATCATTTATTATTCTAATCTGGTCCAAAAATTTGAAGCCCCGTTGGAGCAGAATTTTCACATCCAATTGGCATTTTACGTCATTTTTAAGTTGAGTTGGAATGCCCTTACGTTTTCTATTTTTGATTATTGAAAGAACCTTTTAAGAAAGTAACATTAATGTGGTATTTGCAAGCAAGTCTAATAAAAAATAAGAGACTCTCTTATTGCAATATTAGAAAAATAATTCAATCCCTGTTTGACTTCAATTTTTTAAAAATCATTTTTCACAAACTCATTTTTAACTATACATTTTATAGAATTAACAAGTTCTTTCAAATTTCAACAGCGTATTTCATTAACTTTTATCAAAATCTATTAAACATATAAATTTTAAGCAAATCAAATAGGAACTTAATTTCATCTAATTTTTTTATTTATTTTTATTTATAAATGTTGTATTGTTTTGACTATGTTGTTAAAAAGTAGTGTTTACTTTCAAATTGGCCTTTTTACTTAGTCCTTGACTATCATTATTTTCAAAATCTTTTTTTTTTTAAACAAACTCATTATTAATCACATATTCACACCATAAAATATTTTATACATAAATCAAAATATTTACTTACTTTTTAAGCACACATTCTCCTAAAACACACCGTTCGAAACTTTATTTTCCTCCATTAATTATTGTCAAATAGGGGCTCACATATAAGTAAAGACTTGAATTACCATTGTTTAAAAATTCTATCAAGATTAAGCAACTCACTTATTTTCAAATGTCAATCAATAATTAATAATAGGATAAATAGCACAAAACTTCTCTACTTTTCAATGTCATTGTTGAAAATGTTCATATCTTTTATTTTTTGATATTTTCACCCTATTTCCACCTTATGTTGCGAAGAATGTCATTTTCATTCATTTTTGATGATTTCACCATTCGATTCAAATAAAACAAAAAGAAAAGAAAAGAAAAGGTAAATAAATAACTAGTTACACTCATGGTCCCAAAATATAAAAAAATTACAAATCATTCATTATATTCTTATCTTGACCTTCAGCTTTCTTTCTACACCCAGAATTAAACAAGTTTTCAAATTCTGAATATTTAACATTTTTTGTGAAAATTCTACATATAAATTCATACTCAGAACTCTGAATCGATAAAACTTGACTTTTAATTTACAGCTTTTTTAGTCATAAAAACAAACATTTTTCTTGGTAGTGCAATCCTCATACATGATCTATAGTTCTTGTTCAAAGCCCCTAAAAAAATTTTGAACTAAACATTCTTGGTGGCGAAGAACATGCCAAGAAAAAAGAAACAGTGAGAGAAAATTGGGACCCATTTTGTAGACACTTTTCCATAGCTTCTATTCTTCATAATTCCTTCATTTCCTTGTCAATATAAATACTGAATTCCAGTTTTTTAAAAGTATATTTGTATACAATTGTGTAAAGTAGAAAAGATATAGACGTGAAATGGGCCGATGATGGAACTGGACTATGGATTTTTCTTCACTTTCCCCCTTTCTTGCGGTAGGGTGGGTTAAACTCGTAGATGATTAAAAAAAATTGTAGATCGGAAGTCAAATTTTACAGATTTAGAGTTTTGAATGTACATTTATATGTAAAAATTTAATAAAAATGTTAAAGATTCAAAATTTGAAAGTTTGTTTGTTCTCGGGTGAGGTCAATAAAAGAATGTAATGGTTGATTTGTAATTTTTTTGAAATTTTGAGACTATGATTACAATTAGTTATTTATTTTTTTAATTTTATTCAAATATGAGGGTAAAATCGTAAAAAAATGGATAGAGAATGACCTTTTATTTCATAAAAGATGAAAATTGGGACAAAAATGTTAAAAATTGAAAGGCAATAACATTTTTCCCAATGACTTTGAACGACTGGAATGTTTCGGGCTATTTACGCATTAATAATAATTCAACACCTCCACTCACTAAATTCTGCAGTGTTTCACTAGGTCCCGCCACCACAGGGTGCCACCATTCCGACCCGCCTTCTCGTCCGTCTTAAGTCCCTCCTCCGGTCTTCACCACCGCCTAAAACGTAAAAACCACTAATTAATGGACCAAGAACACCAGCAACCTTTACTTGGTTGTGTTAATGCTGCGGGCACCGCCCGATTTTCACACCCTCTGACCGTCGCCTCTGACCACCACCGCCGCCACCACAGAATCACGATACGTGATGAACCGGGAAATTATGACAGCAGCGACGACGATGACGAATCACCAGCACCACTTACTGGAGACTCCCTTTACTCAAAGCCCTTCGTAATTCTTGACATTATATGGAACCTGGCATTTGTTTTGGTGTCTCTTTTTGTGCTCTTGACTACCGTTCAAGAAAAGCCCTCCACCCCTTTACGGCTGTGGATTGGTGGGTATGCTTTTCAGTGCCTTCTGCACGTCGGTTTTGTGTGGGCTCAATACCAAAGGTCCAGTTTTGATATTCGGGTTGAAGATTTTCATCTTGATAGAGTATTACGTTTTCCTTCCCTCTGTCAAAACAGGTAATTTTAGTCCTGATTGAGTTGTATGTATTGAACTTTTTGATGATGTGAAATTGATAAAGATGTTTAGGTTTTGTATTTGAATCTTCTAATTTGGGTGTATATGTGATTTTGTTGATATTGCTATCCATGTTCAGTCGTGGAAAATGATGTATTTTGTATCTTACCTATATTTTTGCTACTGGCTGGCAATGATCAAGGATAAATTAAGGGGAGGACGACTGAGATGTGACATATTTTACATAACCTGAAGACAGTAAACCTTAAATTGAGGGAGTTTATTGTGGCGGAAGGATTTTAAGTAGTTGGGATATATTTTGCATAAACGTAAAATCAGAATAGAGTGGTGTAGGCTTCAAATAACATGTCCTGTGATAGATGCCAAGTACCTATTGTTTAAGAGATCTACAATGAGCAGAAGAGTGTGATGGAAAAGAATTAACGTAGCTGGCTCCTAATTTGTTGGGAAAAACACGTAGTTTGCTGTGATGGTTGTTCTTTTGAGAGGTCCGAGGATTGACAGGGGTGGTTTATAAATTAGCATGGGTGATCAAACTGATTGTTATGTAACCAATGTTGATGAATTGGAAACTATTTGTAATAGAAGAGAGTCATAATTTTTACCATTTTGTTCCTTTCAGCATCATCAAGAAGCTGGATTCAGTTAATACAGTGGTTTCATCAATCTGGTGGATTGTGGGATTCTATTGGATTATAATGGGTGGCCAAGCGCTTCTGCAAGATTCTCCTCGTCTATACTGGTAAAAGTCGTGGACATTTGGAATAATTTGCATTGAATACAAATAATCTAAGTCATTTGACCAGTTACAACCTGTTGCTATCCTGATATGCAGAATTGCACCATTTGAAGATAACTTGTCTAGCCAAAAGAATTGATGTCCTATTGTATGAACAAAAAACATCCCTCCTCGTCAACCGAAAAGGGAAATGCATACTCAAATACAAATTAAGAAACATTCTATCGAAATAATGATAGTTATCATACGTGCCTCAATAAATACAATCTTTGTTCAGACTGCTGGAAAAAATTGATGCTTTTGCTAATTTGCTTCTATTATATTACACACACGGTTTAAATGGAGCAATAGCCTTCGTCAAATTTCTTCTGTAATATATGGCATACTAGAGCATAGAGTTCTCAATAACGATTTCTTTAAACTGCAGGTTATTGGTGGTTTTTCTTGCCTTCGACATGTTCTTCATGATCTTCTGCATCATAATGGCATGTATTATATTCTTTGCGTTGTTTTGTTGCTTTCCGATCTTAGCTACAGTTGCTTATGCTATGACTATTGGTGGTGGAGCCTCGGAAAGTGATATTATGGCACTTCCAAAGTACAGATATTGCCAGCCTGATACTTTGACAGAACTTGATAAGGGTAGAATGGACGGAGTTAAATTAATAGCAAAGTCCGATAAGAGTAACTCTGCAGCTGAGTTAGTTCTTCATCTAGAGGATTCTGTAAGCATTTCTGCCTCTCTTTTTTTCGTTTTGACTGTTTTAAAAACGTCATTTATCTTTTTGAGTCCAGTAGTTTTGCATTCAGCTATATTTGACTCTTGTTTCCAATTGAAAAGTTTCTTGATTTTGCCCTTACTTGAAAGTGATTATGAAAATCACTTTTTCTTTACGCTCGTTTTCAATCACACATTCTCGAGTTAATAACCCAAATGGTCACTGAACCTTGCAAAAAACTTTCACGGAGTCACTGAACTTTAAAAATCACCTAAGTTGTCACTGAACTTTGTAAAAAGTTTTCACAGGATCACTGAACTTTGCAAAAGTTTCCACGATGTCACTAAACTTTAAAAATCATCTCATTCGTCGCTAAACTTTACAAAAATTTTCTCAAGGGATCACTAATTCAATGATCTCGTGGAAATTTTTTGTAAAGTTTAATGATGAATGAAGTGATTTATAAAGTTTATTGACCTCGTGTAAATCTTTTGCAAAGTTCAGTGATGACTTGAGTGATTTTAAAAATTCAATAACCCCTTGAAAACTTTTGCAAAGTTCCATGACCATTTGGATTATTAACCCCACAATCACTTTTCACGTTTCACCGTAACTTTTCCCTACTTTTTTAATCACATTCTCCAAAAAAAGGCCTTTCAAATCTTTTTGATTTACAATACGATGAAAACAGCTTTAGCTATCCTTTATGCTCCATTTCTCGGGATTGTTTTGATAATATCATTTATATTTTCGAGCCCAGTAGTTTTGCATTGAGCTATATTTGACTCGTGTTTCCAATTGAAAAGTTTCTTGATTTTGCTCTTATTTGAAAGTGATTACGAAAATCACTTTTTCCCACCCTCATTTTCAACCACACCTTGTCCATAAAAATTCAATTTTCACATTTATCATAACACTTTTCTCCAAAATATTACTTTTCAAATAATAACTTTCACGAAAGCTCTTAATCTTTTTGATTGACGATACGATGAAAACAGCTTTAGCAATGCTTTAGGTTATCTTTTCTGTATGAAATAATGATTCTACACCCTTTTAGCAGTTACCTTTTGCTGCCATTTTTCAGGAAAAGAACGATAAACTACCTTTTTCTCAATAAATTTGGGGTTGGTTACATAAATCCTTTTTTGCCGCTTATTGCTAGATCTACTAGACTGGTTTTCGTATGTATCATTGAATTATCCAAAGATTTAGGTTTCATTAGGTTGCTATAGTTAAGACGCCATCTCCATTGTGGAGGGTCAAGGACAAGCATATAAAAGGCAGTTCCATGAGCTTCAAAATCCATACATCCAAATTTGTTCTGTCACCGTCCTTCAGTATGACCGAGACAAGAACCACAAACTTTCTTGATATGTTTTTACATTCATGAAAGGAGTACCCGTAAAATTGTGTGTGTATATATTCGTGTGTTCATACCAAATTATTGCAACTAAATTACCTTATGCTTTATATGTTTAACACTGATAGATTAACAACCATAAAGTTTCACCTCCACTTCAGAACTGCTGAACTAAATTACCAAATAAACAATGCATGCAATTTCTTTGCTTTATTATTTTTGGTTAAGAATACTTTCCAATTCACACACTCTCTTCTTTTACCTTGCAGGAGTGCTGCATATGCCTTTATAGGTACGTTGATGGGGTGGAATTGTGTAGACTTCCTTGCAACCATCATTTTCACTGTAAATGCATCACCAAATGGCTGCGCATAAATGCAACATGTCCTCTTTGCAAATTCAACATTCTTAGGGGCGAAACGTTGGTCTGACTCTTCTCAGCCAAGGCTAATCGGGGCTGTAACATCTTGCTAATCTTCTAGTAAAAGGTACAGTAGAAATGTAGATTTTATACAGAGTTTCATCTGGGCCTGGGATTCTTTATATATCAGTTTTTTGCTTTCTCAGATGTTGTCCTGTACATGGGATACCTACAGTCTGAAGCTTAATTCTGATATTTAAATATTCGGGCTTTAACCCTCATATAAGTTGCCAAAAGGGTATGAATTGAAATTGGTTGGAAATAAGACTACCCCCAAAGAGGAGTCACCGTGGCCGAGAATTTCGAGGCGGTGTCTGCAATTAACAATCACTTTTAGCCCTTGTTTGATCTCCATTTTGGAGGAGCTAATGCAATTTGAATAATAGATCGATGGAGAACGTGTGATTAAAAATTAAAGAATTTTTTTTGATTTGCGTGTAATATTATTTTATTGAAAAATATGTGGTTAAAAATTAATTTAGAAAAATGGAAATCAAACAGGACTTTACTAAGAATATAGAAATATCAACATTGAAATAGCGCGTGTGGTGACAAAAGGGCAAATGTTCCTTATGGAATCCACTTATTGTAAATACATAACAATTGACAATTTTTGTCACCAGTACCTTTACATATTAGTTATAGGTGTGTCTAATATATCCTAATTTATCCTTGTATCTTCAGCCCTTGTTTGACACCGTTTAAATTTTTAATATATTTTTCTTTCTCTTCTCATTCTTCATTAAAATAATATTACACTTAAATTAAAAAAATTTCCTTCTTTTTTGAAAACACATTTTTTCAAAAAATACTTTTTTTCAAAAAATACTATTTCATAATACATTTTACCAAAATTTCTCATTATAATATGTCAAATTTTTATGTTTATGATCAATAATATCTTTAAAATTAAATTTATTTCAATTAAATCTAATTATTATTAAAGTTGATATTATTTATTTTTTAAAATTAAGTCAATTAATTTTCAGTAAACACTATTATTACTAATTATCAGTATATGATTAATAAAAACTTATATAAAAAAATAAAAATTATAACAATGAAATTGCGTTGATTATTAAGCCAATTAATATTAAAACATATAATTTACAAAATTATATATGCAATTAAAATTTTTTAAACCTAATATTACGTATTAAAAGAAGATTGCATTCCTAAAGGGTTCCATTGAAAATAAAACATAATAGTTAAAAAAAAAAAAAAATTCCCATTAGCTTACGAAAAGTCATTTTCTAATAATCCATCAACTCTTTAATACCATTAATTTGATAAACTATGAGACAAAACATCATTTTTCAACAACCTAAACGTGAATAGATGATAAACATTCAATTTCACATTTTACTTTTATATTTTTAAATTTATAGTGAACAATATCCTTAATAATCAATTTATTTCTTCTAAATAAGATAATTAATCACTATTGTTGCTTTCATAAATTAAGTCAATTAATTTCCACCGGTTACAATTATTACTAATTATTAGCACACAATTAATAAAAAACATTATTGCAGACAATTACAACAAAATTACAATAATACTATTTATATATATAATTAACTTGAAATGGAATATTTTATTTAGTCGATTAATATTAATATATAGAATTTATTAAAAAGGAAAATTAAAGTTATTCACACAATTAATTTTTTTTAAACCTTATAGTACTTATTAAAAATAGTATCTCATTTCTAAAAAATTCTGTAAAAATAATAAATTCAATACATAATTTGCAATCTTTAAATATTTTATTAATCAAATATATAATTATAAACCATTGTCCATAATATAAATATTTTGCTTTGAATTGATATTTTTCCGTAAGAGTTATAGACCAAATGAAGAAAATAAATGAGAAAAATTGTATGCTCCCTTGCTCTTCAAGTCTCAACTACAAATTTCGCCATTTGTAACTCATCACTCACGGATCACATATTGAGTATGTGTTTATAAATTGTTTTCTTTCATATCTTACTTTCTCTAAGTAGTTTATGTGTAATATTTTAGTAACTATTTATCAATTTATTAATCAATTTTTAAAAATAATTATATATATAATGTGTGTGTGTGTGTGTGTGTGTGTTAGGAAATTCATTGTGGTCTCTTTTTTTGGAAAAATGGCCAATCTTTTTTATAGGGCACAATAACCGATCATGGATTTTATTTATTTATTTATTGTTTACGATAAATTTTTTAGTAGTGTAAATTATGTGAATATTTATTATATTGGATAGTAGGTTTTGAATTTATTTTCTAAAAATATTCTATTTTTTAACCGAAATTTACTTGCATCTTGTTATCTAATTTAATACAAAAATTTTCTTTGTTCGCTCAACTTGAATTTTGTAAATTTTGTTATTATGATATTCATTGAGTAATGAACATATTTTGCTCTTTATTTTTATAATTAGACAGTATGCGAATATTAGTTTTGAAGAAGTGGTAATTCTAATGCCACATTTTCACTTGCAAGGAATTTATGTATGAGTTGTGAGTTTGGAAAGTAATTCGGTGTTTATTGGAATTTTCATTTATCTTGACTTAAACGTTGGATAAGAGAGAGAGAGAGAAAAAAAGTCATTAAAATTTAAAATTAGATTCTTCTAAATTTAGAGCGATCAAATTTTAGGAATTTTTAACCCATATAAGTTTGACCCAATACGCATTTTCACATAATATTTAACAATCTTCGAGTTATTAATTTTATTGATTATAGCTATTTCCGTAATTTACATTTATTCAGTATTATTACCTTTGATTCATAGAAAAAATTTAATTTTAATTTTTTTTCAACTAAATTATGGCTATTAATCAATTAAGAAGGCTCTTAGATGCATAGCCTCCCAACTTTTTTTTGAATATTTGGTTTTGATACAAAATTATAGTTAAAAATTAATTATGTAAATCATTTAATTTCATAATCAAATGGTTAAAATTTTATGTCACATCCCACAATTTAATGTCTAAATATTTTAATATTATAAATTTTTATAGGCATTTCAAAAGTTTTTTTTTTTTTTTTGGTTATATATGAATATTACTAGAAATATTAACTTATTTAAACATTGAAAGATTTTAAATTTGACTTAATAACTTTGTTTAAATTATAAATTGTGCAAAGATGTTTAGAAAACT